ATCACACCCCCTTTAAATTTCGCGAACCCCCAGGGGTTCCCAAACTGGGGTTTATGAACCACTGCTTTAGAAGCTGCACTTGGAGCAGAGATCCTGTTGTCTGGTGGATTATCTGATCAAGGTCACTTCAAAGAACCCAACTGGATAAAGGAGTGACTCTCAGTGTTCTCTTCTGAACAGAGAGCGGGATGAACTTGACACCGCATGGAAACCCCTGGGGGGGCTGGGAAGGGCTGCTCCTACCAAAGCCTACATTGGAGGGGGGTGATCTCTGGTAAGCTTATTAGCAGGCGTTTAGGTTTTTTAATTGTTTTTTCATATGTTTTCTCTGCAACACTTTTGCCTCAAAAATTAATAGGCTCGTGTAGGAAGAACTGCAGTGCCTAATTAGCACCAGGGCTTGCCAGGGCTGAGCCCCGGCATCTCTGGGCCTGGCAGTTCAGAGCCCTGGCATCTCTGGGCTTGCCTCATGAGTTATGAAAGTAAAAAAAAATTGCTTGAGCCAACTTCCCCTTTGCCAGGTGGGTGTTCGACCTTCCCCCTGCCCTGGCCCCGGCCCACCCCTACACCACCCTCACCCCACCTGCTTCCCCAAAGTCCCCGACCCCATTCCACCCCCTTCCCCCAAGTCCCCACCCTGCCTTTTCTCCGCCTCCTCCCCTGAGCACGCCCCCTCCCCGCTCCTCCCCCTCTCCCCCGGAAAGTCCAAAGCACCGCCAAACAGCTGTTAGGCAGCAGGAAGTGCTGGGAGATAGGCGGAGGAGTGGCGACACAGTGCACTCAGGGGAGGAGGAGGAGGAGGAGGAGGAGGAGGAGAGAGCTTGGCTGCCAGTGGGTGCTAACCACCCACTAGTTTTTCACCATGGATGCTCCAGCCCCAGAGCACCCACGGAGTCAGAGCATATGAGCCCCAGCACCGCTTTCATTACAAATTAAGCACTGAAGAACCATGCGGTAACTTATAGTTGTAGCAATTCCACTGATATTAGTCTCTGAGGGGAAAGGCCTGCTTGGGCAGACTAACCCAACACAGGGAAGGCAGGGAGCTGCAGCAGCCTGGAGAGACCCCAGCCAGCAAGGAGAGAGACCCATGTCTCCACCCTAGAGAGATGACAACCGGGGGAGCTGCAAGTCAGAGCGGGTGCCCTTGCTGGGCCAGTGAGGTGCAGGTGCCCTGAACTGACACAAGAATCAGGCCCCTTGTCTTTAGTAGGAGTCACTCATGGGCAAAATCTGACCCCTACAAGGCAACAGCAGAGCCGGGTTATTCCTTTAACCATTGATTTTCCAGACACAGGATTCATTTGCTCCTGACATGCTGGAGCAGGGTTCAGGCTGTGCAAGACACCAGGGTGTGTGTGCACCACATGCTGCTCTCGTTCACACACTGTAAAGTTGGGTGCAACCTCTCTGACTGCTGTGGGCTGTATTCAAGGGCGGCACACACACACACACACACACACACACCTGGATACAGAGCGTGGAAGTGAATTTTCCCCACAGCCGGCCCTGGACCTGTAGACACGGCCGAGTCCAGTACTGAGGGTTATTGCGGGGAGATCTCCCAGCATTGCTCTAGCACCTGCAGCTTTGTCTAGACGAGGGGGAAAGGTTTAAAAAAGGCACGGGGGTAGCTCAGCCCATTTGAAACCCCACCCAGTGTGGATGCAGCTTACCACCTCCACAGTCACATCAGCAGGTCGTGCTGTAGTGTAGCCCTTGTCTAGCCAAGGTGCTCTGTCTACACACAAGAGTTGTCCCAGGTTAACGATGTCAGTACAGGAAAGGGAATAAGTCACCCCAGTCTGAGGCACCCTCACACCAGTGTAACTGCATCCACAACTGGGATTATGCCAGAATGAGTATCTGTAAAAATAAAAATCACACCCCCACTCCCACACCGCCTCACAGCAATTATACCAGGACGGACGCTGTGTAGATACGAAAAAAACCCACTGTTTTCCCTATTGAGTTTAACCCCAACTGAAAACCCCATTTAGCACCAATGTAGACACAGTCTAAAGCCTTCAGCTCAGTTTGAATAGGTCGAGTTACAGCCTCAGCTTTAACCCAACCAGTTCAGCATCTAGGATCATGGGAGGGGCTGAGCGCAAGAGGAAGAGGGCAGCTCCAGGGAACGGGGGCTGACGGCACGGTAGCTTTTCAGAGGAGGGGATGGTTGGAATGCTTGTCACCGGGGCTGGGCCCAGCAAACACACCTATCCCCAACTTCAGTCACTCCCATTCCCAGGGTGCACTAGGCTAGGGCAGGAGCCTCCTCTGGGTCTGTACCGAGGTCCAGCTCCGGAGGTCACGTAGGAGGCAGGATACGCCAAGAACCACTTGTCGGCTCTCAGGAGACTCCGTTCTCTGCGAAGGTTGCTCTTTTAGCAGGGCAGCCCAATGGGCTTCTGGTTCCAGGCTCTCCCCAGCCCCTGCAGCAAAGCACATGCCTGTTTTCCCATCAAGATGCTTGGGCACTGTCCAATCTTTAATCTATCGCAGCCAGTACAGGGAGTAGTTGCAGGAGGCCGGGGAAGGGGCAGGGACACCACCGGCTATTGTAAGCTTGCAAGTGACTTCCAAAGAGCCCGGTGCAGACGTGCGCACGCAACCACCCACCCGCACGCAGGCTCTGCAAGTCCCCATTTCCTTACTGGCGTCCAAGTGGATGGCTTCCGATTTCTGAGTGGTCCCAACGTTGTCCTGAGCCTCGCAAAAATAATCCCCCGTGTCGAAGCTGGTTACGGGCTCATTCATCTGGAGTGGGAAAGAAGGTGTGAGGGAGGCACAGACAGAGGCGTAAACTCCCCACGAGTCAAGCAGCCCCCTCCCCAGTGCGTACCAGCACTCCTGTCTTGGTGTCGATCGCGTAGCAGGAGTTCCTCAATTTCTCGTTGATCTTGGGGCTGGAGGTCATAAGGACGTCGTACCTGTAGCATTGGCAGGTAGGAGGTGGAGAGCCATCTGCTTCCATGCATGTCAGCACAAGGGAAAGAGGCACATGTTACAGATGACCCTTGAACCCACCGCTGTGACCCCCTGCCCTAAACACACCCAAGACGCGGTCATGTGCATTTGTTAAGTTGCGTTTAGTCTAATCCAGTCAGTCATGGGTTAACAGAGGACCGGCTCAGTGACACGAAGGCAAACAAATGGCCAGCTCATTTTAAGTGAAGTAAATGGTAAGCAGCAGCCGTGTCTAGCTTGACAGTCCGTTGACTCGTGAACTAAGTCAGTGGCTGGGCCTCTTCCATTGGCAGGGCTTTCTTGGCACTGCTCCAGGGCTGATGAGCGACGTTCCAGAGCTCAGGCCAGTGTAACTGTCATCCCCCGACAATGCACCTTTCATTGCGATGGGGAAGGAGTGAAAAGCGGTTCCTTCCTGACCCATGCAGAGATCCTGTGCTGCCCTGAAGCTTGATTATACTCATGTCAGCACAACTCCAAATAGTAGTGGACTTTTCTTTAAAATCCAGCCACACTATTGTCTGGATCTCCTGGGACACATTCCACAGAGAGCAGCAGTTCCTTGCGTGGGTTCTGAACCAGCTGCCCTTTAATTCAATAGAGGATTAACGGCACTCACTGGGCTGGCTCTTCCATTGCCCTGCTCCCTGGGCAGCCATTTACACCACAATAAAATGGGTGTGGAATGCAACTAAATCAGAGCAGCTCTCGGGGTTCTGGTGCAAACGACTGTGCAGAGGAGCAGGGAGATGAGAGAATCAGGTGCCCGGCGTTCAACGTAAATGGCAAGTGCACGTGGGGAGAAGTGGCACTGACCAGAAATTAACGCTTTGACTACGAGCCCTGCTGCTGGCCGTAGCCACCCTGCTGAGAGGTGAAAGGTGCGATGCTGGCCGTGTGGGTGAAGTGTCCCTCCCACTTTGATGGAGCAACTTGTCAAAACAAAATGTTTGACCATAACTGCTGCGATCCTGAAGGAAGGAAACAGAGTTTGGTCCAACACTGGGCTCCCATTCGGTGACTGATTTCGCAGCGCTGGTGAAAGGTGCTAGACTGACAGCATTTGAGAGTGAGGCTCTGGGTACGGCCACAGAACAGGCACTGTAAAAGTAGTGTAATCTTCTCCCACCTATTCTTTTGCCAGGGACCTCAGCCCAGCCATGAAGGGACCAGTTCTGGGGTGAGGACTGGTCAGTCTCCATTGGTCTCTGCAGACAATACACCCAAGGTTCAGATTGGTGCTGACAGGGAGTCTTCAAGGTGTGAAGAAGTGGACTGACAGCACATCTGTATGAAGGGGGATCTCTGCTTAAAATGCCATTCGCATGTAATGCAAGATAAGCATGGACTTGCCCACGTCAGCAGGGGGAACAGTTACAGCGTGAGACTTCCTGAGTGCGTATTACAGAAATAATGGTGCCCCCGTGTAGCTAGGATTGTTTCTTCATTGCCACATAATGGGCTACGCATTGACCCGTGCGAGGCAGTCCTCGAGAACCAGTTGTGTTTAATGGTTCTGAAGAAATGTGGAAAGAGTCTTGTTTCAGTGACCTCAGGCTTGTTTGCTATCCACTGATGATACCGTGGTGTGCGGAAAGCAACATTGTTCAAATAAGCCATTGGACTCTTAGTAGGGAAAAATACTACCCTCCTTGCGGCAGGAGTCAGTGGGGAGGTTCCCCGGTCTGTGCCACGCAGGTTAGAAGTTCATAGTGCTCCCTTAGAATCTTAAATTCTAAGAAAACACACTCCTTGCCCACAATTGGCAACATGCCCCCAGGGGCCCCCTCTCTCCGAGACTAGAAGCCCTGGAACTTTAGCCATGGCAACCGGTCCCAAGTTGTAATTACAGGAAGGCAATAGTACCTTGAACGATGAGGTCAACTTCTGACTTTCTTAGTTGGTAACTGCCCCCGCTCCCAGGCCAGAGGACCTCGCAGATGTACTTCCCCGTGTCCTTCCGAGTCACCGAAGTGAAACGAATCCCCGTGGCTGTGACCTGAGCACGGTCTTTGTAGGGGTCTGCAGAGAAAGGGGAAACAGTGAGAAGCTGAGAGCACTTGGAGGTGGAGGAATACAAGTGAGAGCCAGAACAGGCTGCTGGTGTGGAGAAGGGGAGGAAAGACAGCCCCAAGAACCAGCCTCAGAGCAGAGAGCTCGGTAAGGAGAAGAGCTGATTAAATAGAGTTCAGTTCAAATACAACAAGAGGTCTCCCCATTGCAGAAGGAAGCTACACGCCCCTACGTCCAATAGCCAAGCCAGCCCAATCACAGCTGGCCGGGGGATGGAGGGGTTTGTTGCAGGGTTTAAGGGATAGGTTCTGTTATGCTGTGCTGCTGGCAGATATGAACTAGTTAGTGAGCAGGTTACTCCACCCCATTTCTTTCCTCGTAGCTTTTCCCACGAGTGCTCAGTGCTTTTAAGAAATTAGTTAGCAGTGGTAAAGCTGATTCCAGGCAAAGCAATCTAGAACGCTGTGTGTGGTTACCCCAGTCACATTAAAAGACTGTTCTCAAACTGTTCAGCTGACATGGCTGAGCGACAAAGGGGTCTGCAGAAGGCGAGGAAGCCATTGCTAGGACAGAGGACACAAAATGGCTGGTTGGTTCTTGCCTGTCTTTGTAACACCACAGCTCAGCCATGGAAGCGTCAGTGCATGCTGGGATTCCTGAAACACCTACCCCACAGGGTCCAGCTCTGGTACTAGGAGAAGGCGCTTCTGGCTAATTTCCAGAGGTGAAGCACTGCACTGCGGGAAACAGTAGCTGAATCGGGGTAACTGCTGCCAATGCCTGTGGCTTCCTGCCCGTATTGGGAAGTTACAGACTGAACTGGTTCAGAAGGACCCAAGCTAAAGACCTCACTTCAGATCAGGGTGGATAAAAATCAATGATTAAAAAAAGTTTCATTTAAATTGGATACAGGTTTATTTTTGAAAATAATTCCATTTAAAAATAAATTTGAAATTATTACAACCTGTATTAAGGCCAAACTTACTATCGTCTATTAAAATAATTTAAATTAAATTTTTAAAAAAAGGAACAGTATGTTCACTGCTGAAGTTTTAATGAGAGTCTGAACTGGTGGAAGTCACTGGCTAAGGTCTTGAAACCAGAGTTTACTGACATGCTGAACCAGCTTTGGACTGCACGTGCAGAAGAAGCTACTGCTGAGAGAATTTTTTTTCCTATTTTCAGTTTATTAACTAATTCATCGGAATGAGTAGTTCATTCATTTAACCGACTGGGAGCTGAAAAAGCAGAAGAGCTTGTTTTCTTCTTGCAGACTATGAATAAAACGTAGATGTAAGAGAATGAGATCTACTAGCTCTAAAATCTTGCCATGGTGACCAGAAACAATCAGTTCAATTCACTAAAGTTATACTTTGTTTAATAAATTAGTTTTAAATGCTAAACATATGGTCAAACTTTTCTTATTTATCCAGTGCACGTAAGGTGGTTTTATTTAACTGCTTAAAAAACGTTTAAATGCTGAGTTTGTGCCTTTTTATTTGAATTCTGATCTCCAGAGTTTGACACAAATCAATCACAATAAAAGTTAAATCAAGTAAAGAAGAAATGCAGAATTCCCTATTTTCAAACAATAAAAAATATAAACTAAGAATCTGAAGAAATGTATGTTAAGCTATATAATTGCTTAACTAAATGTGGATCCACCTGCTTAGCAAAGAGCACCAGCAAACTTGGGGTAACGCTATATTTAGTTGCAATTGAACACATTTTAATGAATAGCAATTACTAAAAATCAATGCTTCTTTAGGAAAATAACCAGGGGCGGAGGCAGCCTCCCAATTCAACAGGTGAACTATACTAAGCTACTGAGGGGGCACCAACCACCTGCAGCAGCACCCCAGCACTAAAACTTTAATCCCAGCCCTGGTGTGGTGGAGCAGGCTGGAGAGTGAGTCTGCCCCACACTCATCCACACTGCAAGGGTTGTCAACTTTCTAATAGCAGAAACCCGAACACCCCTGCCCCACCCCTTCTCCAACACCCTGCCCGGCTCACTCCATTCCCCCTTCCTCCGTCTCCCCCACCCTTGCAGGGGGTTGGGGTGCAGGAGGGGGTACGGGCAGGGATGAGGGCTTTGGGGCACTGGAGGGGGCTCCAGGCTGGGTCAGGGGGGTGGGATGCGGAAGGGGTGAGGGCTCCAGGATGGGGCCAGAAATGAGGGGTTCAGAGTGAGGGAGGGGGCTCAGGGAAGGGGTTGGAGCATGGGAGGGAGTGCAGGCTCCAGGAGACAGATCAGATCAGGGTGTGGGCTCTGAGTGGCACTTACCTCCGGTGGCTCCCGGGAAGTGGCCAGCATGTCTCTCCAGCTCGGGGGTGGCCAGGTGGCTCTGTATGCTGCCCCCATTGCGGTACCTGGCCAATGGGAGCTGCAGAGCCGGCGCTCGGGGTGGGGACAGCATGCGGAGCCCCTGTGGCCGGCCCCAAGCCAGAGGGACATGCCGGCTGCTTCCCAGGAGCTGCGCCGTGGAGCCTGCCAGCCTTGCTGCACTGCCAGCCTTGCTGCACTGCCAATTGGGTCCCTTTTCCACTGGGTGTTCCGGTCGAAAACTGGATACCAGGCAACCCTACCTACAGCGGTGGCTCATGTCTTGCAAGGCAAGGCCCAGCTTCCTGCTCCAGGCATTGTGGCCTGGTGCATGGGGTTGTAGCACCACTCAGGTTTGGCCTCTCCATTAGACAAGGCAAAACCTGAGTGGTACCACTACCCCATGCACCAGGTCGCAACACCCAGAACGGGGATGCAGAAGCTGATGTTGCAGGAAGGGTGCAGGGCAGGCTCACTCAAAAATATTTCCCCCCCTTCCCCTCTGCCCACTGGGGCCTCCCATTCACATCGGGTATTTCTGTTTTTGCACCCTTGGTTTCATGCTGTGGGTGCAAGTGCAAGCATCAACCCATGCTAAAGCCACCCAAATGCAAAACAAGATAAAAATCAATAATTTAAAGCAATCCACCCTGCCTCAGATGCTGCAACCAGCTGGTATAACCTGTGCTTATCCAACACCTGGCCCAGAGACCGTAAAGGGGCCCTCAGACATTCCGTACAATGGACTCACATACCTGTGAATTTTGAATTGTAGTAGAACAGCACTATTGAAGAGCCCTTTTCAAACTTCCACTCGACCCTGGGTGTTCCGCTTTGCGATACGTACGCAGTACAGGGTAGATCAATTGCTGGAAAGAAACGGCAATAAGTCAGCATTTGCACTGCACCCCAAAAAGGTAACGTCATGTAATAAGATCCTATTTGTAAACACTTGGCAGAGCTAAGCCACGAACATATTTGTTTTAAAATGGACTGGGAGCCAGATTTTCATTTATACCCAGGACTAATTACAACGTAGTGTGAAGGGATCATCCTTCCTGAATCCCAAGGGCTGGAAAAAAATGCCTAACAGTGAGAGGCTTAAAGAGGATGTGCACGGTGGAGTTCGGGAGGGCAGGTAGGAATGTTGTGCAGGGTAGCCCGATGGCCCTGAGCTCCATGGCACTAATGTGGAGCCCCAAGTTTCCTGGGTACCAAGTTGCTTGCATCTGTAGATGGTCTAGGTGGGTTCCCCAACATGTTCCTGATACATCTGTGATTAAAGTCCTTACCAGAGAGGGGGAGGAGAAGAGCACTTGGGTTCCTACCGTCGTCTCAGTTCTGTTATGTCTTGTGGTGGAACCACAACCTTCTTGTTTATCAGGTGTTTTACTGGGGAAAAAGACCAACTTGAGCCTGAGCTCGAGCAGCCACAGGTGAAACCTGGCAAGCGATGTCATGTATGTGAACGTTAACATATGGCCCCACAGCCCCAGACACATCCGCATTGTCACAGTCTGGTTTGATTCTATCCCAAGTACTAAAGACTACACCTGTCTCCAGGAAGGCTCACTCTGACCTATCCAGAGTCAGTCAAGGCTCCTGGGAACCCTATTGCCTGTGGTGAGATAAGAGATTTTTCCCCCTAGCTCATCAGGGGGCCCAGCTGAGTGAATAGGGATAGCGTGTAGTCCAGGCTTTCCGCCATTTCCTCCTGGGATCTGCCCCCGATCATCCAGCTGTCAAGCTGAGGGTAGACGTGAATGAGCTGTTGCTACCGCGAGGCACTTTGTGAAGACTCAGTGCCACGGAGAGTCCAAAGGGCAGAAAGTTGCACTGATGATGATGGGTGAGATGGATGGATGGCTATGTGGAAGTACATGTCATGTCAGCAGAGAGCCACCAACCAGCCTTGAGCCTGAAGAGATGGGATGATGGAGGCAAATGTCACCATCCTGAATAGGTGACAGTGTATGTATGTGTCCAATCTTCTCAGGTCTAGGATGAAGCTTGAATAGGACAAAAACCTCCTTCCTTCTTCAGAAGATATAACAGGAGTATAAGCCTCTTTCCCAGTACTCCATAGGTACCTACATGCCATAGAAGAGATGAAGCAACTAGTACACTTCTGTTTATAATAGGTTCTCATGACAAGGATCCCTGAAGAAGGATGGGGCAGGGGGTAATGCGTGGAAATGGATAGGGGAGCCACGGGCAATTTCTAATGTCCATTTATTGGCTCTGATGGCTGCCCAGGCCCAGTGGAAAGGCGGTTCCTGAAGGTGGACACAGGCTCCACACTGACTCCAATGCAACTCCCAATACTCCTGTCAAATCTGCTGCCTCAGAGGGAGTCTGGTGCACTGAGGTGATGGGTGCCCCCAGGAGTATCTGGGATTCTCTCTTTGTGGGTACTCTGGCTGTCGATCCCACTAGTAGGATGGTGTCCTCTGCTTGGGCTGCTACTTGTAAGGGTTCCTTTAGGTGTGTAAATCCATAAAAACCACAGAGCTTTCCTTGAGGGACTGGAATACTTCGCTTGTTTTCTGGCTGAAGAGCTCCATTCCATTATAGAACAGGCCATCTATCGTGGCCTGTACCCATGAGGCCATCTCAATGACGACCATGGCCATACCAGATGCCCCACCTGTAGGGATGCTCTCCTGACCATCTGGCCTTCCTTGATTATTTCTTTCAACTCGTCCTTGTTATCTTGAGGGATCTTGGATTGGGAGAGGGTCACTCACTTCCTAATGAGAAAGATGTATTTGGTGAACAGGGTCTGGTAATTTGCCAGCTGGAGGGAGGCTGATGAGTATGCCTTGTGTCCATGGAGATCCAACTTTCGGGGTCTGTCATTAGGCATGCCTTTCGTGGACTGGGATTTCTCCTGTGCTGCCGCAACAGCCAGGAACTCTGCATTTGGATGGACATAAGTGTGTTCAAAGCCCTTTGGGGGCACTGATATCTGTTCTCCACCCTTTTCAAAGAGGGAGGAAAGGTGCCTGGCATTTGCCACAGTCCTTTAGCTGGTTCCAGGAGCCCCTTGTCAATAGGAAGGGTGATTCTGGCCAGCATGATGGTGCTCAAAATAAAGACTTCTCTTGTATAAATGTAGTCCCAGTATCCAAGGTCTCTGCATGCAGAAAAGGAGGTCTTGAAAAGTTTTAAAATCAAATCAATCGCTGGGGCTGGTGTCACTGCCTTGTCCTTGAGTGGAGATGGGGGTCGTTGCGATCCCTCCTTTGCTTCCTGCTCTTGCGGGCCCATGTGTGGTTCTGGTGTGGGTGGCCTGGTTAATGATGCCACTGGCGAACGGGATCGCCTCCTTTCTGGAAACATGGGAGAGGGATCTTGCTCCCAGACACAAGAGCTGATGGTCCCCAGAAAGGCTAAGGTGACGTCGTATGGGTACTAGGCTCCCCAGCAACCTCTTTCGGGTCTGTGACGTTATCTGATTAAAATATGACCATGTAAACCATTGTTGCTACCATTGTTATATAATTGCAGCAAATCTTATACAAAGTAGGACACATGGCCCGAAAGGGTTAAGCAGCCTGCAGGCTATATAACCCAAAGCCAACCTTTAGAGACATGGTAGAAGAGTATGTGAATGGTAATTAGGGCCATTCCATGGTAGATAGATTTGCATTTCAAAGTTCTAGCCTATGTTGTTAGAAATTAAAGGTGATAGTATTTTTATGTTTACTTATATCTGTTTACATGGCTAACATTAAACAAGTCAGTTCCTGTCTGTCACTATAGCTCAGGGGTAGGCAACCTATGGCACGCGTGCCGAAGGCAGCACGCAAGCTGATTTTCAGTGGCACTCACACTGCTCGGCTCCTGGCCACCGGTCCGGGGGGCTCTGCATTTTAATTTTAAATGAAGCTTCTTATACATTTTTAAACTTTAAACCATTGTTATATGTAAAGTAAATTATGTATTATAGACTTATAGAAAGAGACCTTCTAAAAACGTTAAAATGTATTACGGGCATGCGAAACCTTAAATTAAAGTGAATAAATGAAGACTCGGCACACCACTTCTGAAAGGTTGCCGACCCCTGCTATAGCTATTGATTCAGAGATCAAAAGGGGATATTAACATTTAGATGAGTCTTGGGTGAAATAAGGTCACCGTCTATATGTCACTTTAAAGTTTGTGATAGACTGCGTATTGGATAAACTGCCTTATGTAAATCCATGTAGCTAATTACCCGTAATGCTTAGGAAATAGGTCCACTTCAAAGTATCCGCGATTGCCTATTGTTCACCTAAGGACGCTGAACTGTAAATATGCCTTGGGTCCCAATCCTTTTTTTAATCTCAGATCTGCTTGATGCTTCATGCAGGGGAAGCTTAAGCCCAAGACTGAGACCCCAGTCCTGACTGGACCACCCTGAATATAAACATTGGACTAGAACCTATGCACAAATTCTGAAAACTCTCTGCAACTACAAAGCTCACCATCTCTGCTATGAATCTGAATCTCAAGAATTGTACTCATGACTGTTTGGATACTTATCTTTTAACCAATACTCTCTCTCTCTTTTTTAATAAATGTTTGTTGGTTAATAAGATATTCTCTTCGCCTTTTGTCCAGCACTCAATACTAGACCATGATCTACGCTCAAGATGTTATACCAATAGAATAAAAACCAGCAGGATTTTATTAAGAGGGATAAGGCAAAGATGCCACATTTATTGTAAATATACTGATAAATCAAAAGATAAAAGTAAACAACGTTGTTTGACTACTTATTTCACACACACACACACACACACACACACACACACAGAGAGAGAGAGAGAAATTCATTCCCACAATCA